GCGGCCAGGGCTAATATTAGCCCATCTGTGGCGGCCAGGCCTAACATTGGCCCATCTGCGGAGGCCAGGGCTAATATTAGCCCATCTGTGGGCTTCCTGGATGGAAGAGAAACGTCTTCAAACTTGGAAACAAAGTCCAGTTGACTTTTGGAAAGTTGAACTCAAAGTTAAACATATTTCAGGCAAATAACTCTACCAATAAAACGTTGAGGAAAGACGATAAACATTAAACAAATCAAATAATAAGTAACAAAAACTACTAATATAACTGACCAAATGACGTAGGGGATCAGTGTGGAGTTTATGTTTGAATATAAAAGTTAATATCAAGGTTTTTGGAATATATAGCTCTTATATTAGCGTGACGTATTTTTCTAGGACTAGTCCCGCTTTAGGGACAACCTGTCCACAGCTAAGGCTGTCCCCGGAAACGTCCCTGATTTTAGGCTCTGATGAATGAGGAAAACATATTTTTATATAAACTAATTGTGCAGCTGCTTAGGAGAGCTTTTCTAGATAACCGGTGCTACGCCAAAGTTTGTGACTCTTGACAGATGCTGGTCTGCAGCTCATTGGTTGTTTTAATTGCTGACATGGGGTTGACTCAGTCATACAGCATCATGGAGCTTTTTCCCTCAGGATCCCCAAAGATGGTGAAGCACAGGGAGCAGCTATTAGGGAGCTGAGCTGGAGATGAAGAAGAGAGGGGGGGTAAACAGATGCTGCAAGGCTGCCAGAGGAAGGTCTTCCTCAGCTCTAATGAGAGCGATGATGATGATGATGGTGGTAAACGGGACAAAGGGCAGAGGAAGCACACTGAACACATGTCCTTCTGCAGAACCCCCTGGCAGGTTACACACCGAGTAAACATTAGAGCAAAGAAAGAATAAAGTCAGATGGTTCATGGATGCCATAAAAAACTGGAAACAAGAAAGCAAAAGACAAAAGAAAGAGAATAACAGAAAATGTTGCACGCCTCCCTCTAAACTGATCCTGCTGCTCCAACTCCATGGGACGGATTTCCACCATGGGCTGAAAACAGGATGAGGGGGATAAAATAAGGAGGAAAACACAAATACTCACATTTTTCTA